CAGCGTTAGGCACGGAACATCATAATAATAACCCACGAATATAAAAACAACCAAAACCCAAAGATATTAAAGGCCAGATATTACAATGGCTCAAGACAGAACTCATAGCAACAACATCCAACCCAACAGAATGAACAGTAATCTACCTTACCTATCAGTTCTCTCAATAAATGTGAATGGCTTAAACTCTCCACTCAAGAGACATAGGCTGGCTGAATGGATAAGAAAATACAGGCCAAGTATATGCTGTCTTCAGGAAACACATCTAACCTGCAAGGATGCATATAGACTAAAAATAAAAGGGTGGACATCAATATTCCAAGCAAATAGAAGCCAAAAGAAGGCTGGTGTGCAGTTCTAATTTCATACGATTTAGTTTTAAACCAACAAAGTAGTAAAAGACAAAGAGGGTCATTATATAATGGTGAAGGGCACAGTTCCAACAAGAAGAGATAACAATTTAAATATATATGCACCCAACTTAGGTGCACCCAGATTCATAAAGCAAACCTTACTGGAGCTAAGCAAATGGATTAATAGCAGCTCCATAATCACTGGAGATTTCACACCCACTGACGGCACGAGAATACTCCAAACAGAAAATTAATAAGAAATAATGTACTTAACAAAACTTCTAGAACAATTGGGTCTGACTGACATTTACAGAACATTTACCCAAAATCCACTGAATATACGTTCTTCTATCAGCTCACGGGACATATCTAAGATTGACCAGTATCCTAGAACAAAGAAAGTCTCAAAATTTAAAAAATAAAATCATACCATGTACCTTCTCAGATCACAGTGGAATAAAACTAGAAATCACCCTACAGAAACTCACATTTTTACACAAAACTGGAAATTAAACAACCTCCTACTAAAGATACTTCGTAAATGAAGAAATCAAGACGGAAATAAAAATTCTATGAAGAAAACGACAATGGGAGAGACAGTTATCAACTCCTCTGGGACACAGCTAAAGCAGTTCTGAGAGGAAATTTATCTCCATTAGGCTATAACCAAAAGTCAAGAAGATCACAATAGACAATCTAATGAAACGACTCAAAGAGCTGGAAAAGAAGAACAGACCAACCCCAAACGAGCAGAAGAAGTGAAATCAACAAGATCAAACCAGAACTAACGAATTGAAAACAGGGAGCTATTCAGGGATTAATAAAACAAAAAGTGGTTTTTTGAAAAATAAACAAATTGACACACCATTGGTAAGCTAACGAAAAGCAGAAAGAGAATCTCTAATAACTTCATCAGGACAAAAAGGAGATATCAAACTGATCCCAAAAAGATACAAGATACAATTATGAATACTACAAACATCTTTATGACAACAAACTGGAAAATGTGGAGAAATGGACAAATTTCTAAAACACACAGCCTCCCTAGGCTCAACCAGGAAGAATAGATTCCCTGAACAACCAATCAACAGCTGAAATAGAAACAGCATTAAAAATCTCCCTAAAAAGAAAAGTCCCGGTCAGATGCTTCACACCGAATTTTTACACTTACAAAGAAAACTAGTACCTATCTTGCAGAAACTATTCCACACAAGAGAAGAACGGAAACCTCCCCGACACCTTATGAAGCGATATATCTGATACCAAAACCAGGAAACGATCAAAAAAAAGAAAACTACAGACCAAATCCTAATGAATATAGATGCAAAAATTTTCAACAAATACTTAGCTAACCGAATCCAGACACTATCAAAAAATAATCCACCACGACCAAGTGGGCTTCATGCCAGATGCTAGGGATGGTTAACATACGTAAATCTATAAATGCATTCACCACATAACAGAGCAAAAACAAAGACCACATGATCTTTCAATAGATGCGAAAAAGCTTTTGACAAAATCAACACCTTTCATGATACGAACACTGAAGAAATAGGCATAGAAGGGACATACCTAAAAGATACAAGCCATATATGACAGACCCATAGCCAACATCATACTGAATGGGAAAGATTGAAATCATTCCCACTTAGAACTGGAACCAGACAGGCTGCCACTGTCTCCACTTCTGTTCAACAGTGCTGGGAAGTCTTGGCTACAGCATTCAGACAGGAAATGGAATCAAAGTTATCCAATAGGCAGAAGGAGATGAAACTTTCACTGTTTGCTGATGATATGATATTGTATCTAAAACCCCAAAATTCAACCAAGAAACTCCTGACTGACAATGATTTAGTAAAGTCTCAGGAACAAATCAATAACAGAATCAAGGCATTCATATACGCCACAACAATCTACTTGAGAACCAAATCAAAGACTCATCCCTTCACACATAGGCAACAAAGATTAAGTAACCTAAAGAATATACTTAACCAAGACGTTAAAGACCTACTACAGGAAACTTATGAACATGAGAAGAGAAATAGCAAGAGTAAACAGATGGAAATCCATACCATGTCGTGGATCGCCAACGCAATATCATCAAAATGTCTATACTACCCAACTGATCTACAGATTCAATGCATACCTATTAATCATCAGATTCTTCACAGGATTGAAAAATATTTTCGCTTTGTATGGAAACCAAGAAGATCCGAATATCAAGAGCATTCTAGGAACACAAAACAAAATGGGAGGATTAACTCCAGATATCAAACTATACTACAAATAGGTAGAATTAAAACACAATATGGTATTGGGCCAAATAGGAACATTAGACCCAGTGAACAAGATGTGGAATCCTGATATAAAACCATCTCCATATAGCATCTAACCCCCTCTTTGACAAAGCAGACAAACATACGCTGGGAAAAAATTCCCTCTTCAATAAATGGTGTTGGGAAACCTGGATAGCCACCTGTAGAAGGTAACAGGACACACTCTTCCCTCTCCAAACAACCACGCTGCATAACAGACTTTAAACCTAGGTATAGAACTGTTAGAACTCTAGAAAATTGGAAACACTCTCTAGATATCGGCCTGGCAAAAGAGTTTATGAAGAAGTCCCAAAAGGCAATCACAGCAGAAACAAAAAATAAATAAATGGACTAGATTAAACTACAAAGTTTCTGCACGCCAAAGAAATATTCATGAAGTAACAGACAACCTACAGAATGGGAGAAAATTTTGATCCTATGCTCTGATAAGGGACTGATAACTAGAATATCTTAGATCACGAAAATCAGGAAGAAAAAATCAAATAAACCCCATTAAAATGTGGGCAACGGACTTGAACAGAAATTTTTCTAAAGAAGACAGAAGAATGGCCAACAAACATATGGAAAGAAATGCTCAAACTCTCTAATCATCAGGAAATGCAATCAAAACCACAAAATGCATATCCACTTAACCCCAGTGAGAATGGCTTTATTCAAAAAATTTCAAACAATAAATGCTGCGTGGTTGCGGAGAGAGAGGAACACTGCCTACAGTGCTGGTGGGACTGCAAACTAGTTCAACCTCTGTGGAAGCAATTATGAGTACCTTAAAGCAATACAAGTGATTACCTTTGATCCACAATCCCATCGCTGGGCATCTACCCAATGATCCAATGCACTCTACAAAAAAGACACCTGCACTTGAATGTTTATAGCAGCACAAATTCATAATTGCAAGGCTGTGGAAACAGCCCAAGTGCCTCAATCCAGAGATGATAATAAAATTGGTCTATGTATACCATGGAGTACTATCAGCTCTAAGAACAACGGTGATATAGCACATCTTATATTTTCCTGGTTAGAGCTGGACCATACTACCAAGTGCAGTATCCAAGAATGAAAAACAAGTACCAGATATTTCTTCAGCAACTGGTATTAACTGAGTAGCACTAAGTGGACACATAGGTACTACAGTAATAGGGTATTGGGCAGGTGGGAGGGGGAGGGGGTATGATACATACATAATGAGTGAGGTGTGCACCATCTGGGGGATGGTCATGATGGAGACTCAGACTTTTGGGGGGAGGGGGGAAATGGGCATTTATGGAAACCTTAGAATCTGTACCCCCATAATATGCCGAAATAAAAAAAAAAAAGAGTGTGTCTTACTTTAATAGTGGAAAAAATACATTATAAATTATAAAATAAAAAGAACAACCCGGCCAGGTATGGTGGCTCATGCCTGTAATCCTAGGACTTTGGGAGGCCAAGGCAGGAGGGTTGCTTGAACTCAGGAGTTCAAGACCAGCCTGAGCAAAAGTGAGACCCCGTCTCCACTGAAAAATAGAAAAATTAGCCGAGCATTATGGCATGCGCCTATGGTCCTAGCTCCTCAGGAGGCTGAGGCACAAGGATCATTTGAGCCCAGGAGTTTGAGGTTGCAGTGAGCTACAATAACGCCCCTGCACTCTAGAACAAGACTCTGTCTCATAAAAAAACCAAACAAACAAAAAAACAAAACAAAACAAAAAAAACTACTACAAAATATCTTCATCTATTTTCCTCAAAATAGAGTATCAGACACAGTGAAATATGATCACTGAAGTCCCCCCAGCACTTTTCTGAAAGGTGAATAACAACATGGAATCTCTACCTTATTTCATACCAACAGAACTATAAGGTGATAAAATAATCCAAGTTGAAAAGTCACATCGCTATCTAGGACCTGAAATGCCACCAGTGCTTTACACATGGTGTTTAAAATTCTTTAGAAACTATTTTTAATAAAAAACAATTTGGATTCAGGTTTGATGTGCAAAAACAGAACTAACAATTTTATTTAATATTTAAAAGTAAATGACAAAAATAAGAACCAATTTTTATTCTTCTAAAACACCCCATCAGGTTTGGATGACTGGACAGTCTCCTCTGCTTTGGATAGTTTGTGTTCATCTCACTGGGAAAGTAATGCTATGGGAGAAAAATAAAGTAGGGTTAAACAACTTCAAAGGAGTAGTATTATACTATACTTTGTTACAAAAGGGAATGACTACAACAAAATTCTCAAACTCTCTATACTGAATATTATGATTAACTTACATGTTTTTCAGTTTGCTGGAGTACCATCTTATGTTACTTTGAGGCATGCAGATAAAATAGAGTATAGCAAATACCATTACAGAGATAATTTCTGAATAACAAAATTAACTTCCATGCCTCAGTGAATGGCCCACAGAAACTAACTTTTCATTAGTCTAGTTATAATGTTATATATACACATGTGTGTGTCCATGTATACACACATAGATTGCATTAAACTTATACAAGGTAATATAGTAGTATGAATAATAATGTGCATGCATTAGGATTATAAAATATATTTATGTATTACCTGAAATAAATAATATATATCCTATGTAAATATATACATTTATAATACATTATATAAGGATTTTCTTTTGTTTCTCCCGAGATAAGTCACTTTTACTATTCATCTAGTCCAAACTTCTCATTTTGAAGATTGGTGTATTGAGGCCTAGGAAAGTTAAGGGACTTGCCAGAATGCCAGAGCCTACACTGTAAATTATGGCAAAACTGGGACTAAAGCCAGAGTCTCCTGACACTATGTCCAATGGTCTATTATTCCACTCTTCTACTTCTCTGTAACTTAACACCTTCAATTTGAGTTGCACATGGCAATTTTCAAAGCATTGCACATACATTACATTGTTTAAGCTACATAAAAAATCTCAGATGATAGTAACAAGGAGCTTAAAGGGTAATTTATTTGCCCATGGGAACACTATTACTTAACAATCTAGGTCTTCTGACTCCCAGTCCAGGACTCTAGTCCCTGAGGTATACTTTTTTTCTCACCAATCGTATTCTTACTTGGCCTTTCACAGTTATTTTGGGAGGAGGAAGCCCAGGCCAAAGTCAGGAGATCTATAAGCCTGTCCAAGTGAAGTCCAGGTAGTCCCTGGTGTATGATTCTAAGATACGTCTCTCAACCTCTTCTAATGCTGCATTGTGCAGGTTTGGGGAGCAGGTAGTTGTAACTAACAGCAAAGATTCAAGACTCAATCCCAGGTCTATCAGACTCCTGAGGCCATGCTCCTTCCTCTGGATATGTGGTATGATCAACACACATTGGGAACTGTGGCCATTTTTATTTAACGACGGTATCTATCATGGAGCCTCAGAGTCAGAGTGGCAGATTCCATTTCTTTGCTCCCTCTGAAGGGCTGAATTGTGTATATCAAATAATGTGGTATCCAAACAATTTAGCACATTTCTTGTCCACTTTCCTACCATCTAAATATGCCTAGTGATAAATATCTTTTCAGAAGCTGGCCCTCATGTGGTCCAAACATTTGTGGTGTAAAAAAATAAGTGTCAGTCAAACCAAGATGAAGGTAAAAAGATAAAGCTAACAAGAATCAAAGATTGAGCACATGCTTATGTCATATGTAATAAATAAAAAAAAAAAAAAAAAAAGATTGAGCACTTCAACTTTATATCCTATATAAATTACCTCTAGTCTCTTGCTCCTTTTCATCATCTTCCTTATCTTCCATTTCTGTCTCTAAAATTTCAGCATCCCTCTTCTGTTTTTTTCTTTGTTTCTTCAAACCCCTTAACATTCTATTGACTTTCCTTCGTAAAGGATTGGCCCACTTGCTGTAACATGAAAAGTTCAAGTGAAACTTTATGTCTTAGCAGTGACAGAATAACAATGGAGGGTTACAGGAAAAGGATATTTGCCCAGATAACTCTTTACACTTTCCCATTTGATTTTTTTAACTGACCAGATTTAATAAATCTGATAGAAAGTATTATACTTGGTATGCTCATATTTATCATTGTAACCATCACTATTATTCTATTAATATATACAGTCATTTTGATCATGTGATACTTCATAACAGGAATTCTGTCCTGCTTCCCTCTGTTGACATCAATGTTACCCACCCTTCAACACCCAGCTTAGATATTATCTTGTCTAGAAAGCCTTTCTTTAGAGGGATTCTTCCCTCCTATAAACTTCAAATATAAATAGTAATAGTTCGCATTACATTAGCATTTACAATTTTCAAAGTACTTTCACTTACTATTGCTATGATTTGATATTCAATCCCGTACTTGTGTTTTTGTGGACAGTAGGTGAAGGGACATTAGAGATGTTATCATATGCCAAGAACTTGGCTAGGTGCTTTAGATACTTTATTTCATTTAATCCTCACAATAATCCTAGAAGGTGGATAGTGTGTTTTCTATTTTATAAATGATCAAATGCTTAGAGAGGTAAGATAACTCACCCAAGGTCACACACAGCTAATAAATGGAGATGCTAGGATTTGAATGTAAGTCTGTCTGACTATAAAGTACAGACCTTTTCCATGAGACCACACTGCAGTATGATGTGGTGCTAGCTAACAATGGCTAACAACAGCAGGTATGATAGACTTCCTACGTGCCACGGCTAGTATATAAGCACTTTATGTCTATGATCTTATTTAATCTTCATGATGACTTGATGAGGCAAGTACTATTTCTATCATTCCCATTTTTCAGATGGGAAAGTATAATAACTTGCTGAGGTCACCAAACTATTCAGTAAAAAAGCCAGGATTCAAATCCAGACCTACCTAAATCTAAAGTATAATCTCTCCCTCACTCTGCTAACCTGTCTTTTTCTCCCCTCCAAGCTTGAAAATTCCTTCTGGCTGGAACCTTACCTTATAAAATTTTATAACTCACAGAGGAAAAGGAAATTTTAGTTGATTTTTACCAATAAATGTTAGTGGATTTTTATGTTTATAGGGATTTTACTTCCTAACAAACTAAACACAAGCCAAGAAGAAAAAATAGGAATGTTCATGGCAGAGTTTAGGGAGGGAAACCCAGAAAGAGAATGAAAGGGAAAAAATTTGCATATGATATTATGAAGAGGTAATGACAGACAAATAATCCCATCCCTAGCTCAGTGCTAGATACAGAAGAGCACATCAGGACCCTGACATTGCTACTTAGCTATAAAGAGCAACCAGGTTCTGAGCATGTGGGGCCCAGAGATAGATAAGCCTGCCTTTGAAATGATGACTTTGAAGGTAATACTCACTTTTCTCCCCTAAAACTGCATTACTGGGTTGTCACTGAGCTCCACTAGGTAAGACCGATGTATAGCAAATAAATACCTTTTTCTCAATTAATCATAAAAAAGTCCCCAGGCATAAATGAAATAGTGAGTGAAGGCCAAAAATGTATCTATATGATTTACCTATGGTCTCTTTTTGTTGCCATGTTGTTAACTGCAGTCTAAAAAAAAATAATAGCTGAAACAACTACAAAGTTCTCAGTCCCTTGGGGCCAGATGTGTTTCTGAATATGGAATTTTTTGGATTTTAGAAAGGTAATATGACATGATATGTTTCATATTACAGGATACTCCTATAGGGTCTGGGCAGCATCTCATAGTCAAACAGTAACATTTCTGCAACAGAATTTAAGAATGTTCATTCACTCTAAGCATTACATACTGACTAGAAAGAATCTCAGGTCAGGTCAAATCAGGTTTTGCTGCCAAATGAGTTATGAAAAAAATCTTTAGGTTTATAGAACTTTTTGAATTTCAGGATTTTACAGAAGAAAATGAGGATCTTATACTTTTTTCTAATGCTCTGACTTCAATATATCCTACTTTACGTTATAAAATGACTATGTTTTCTTCATCCATAGATTTGATTTTAAATCTGGTGGTGTGTATTTCATTTCCATTAACAAAAATCAATGCAACACAGCATTATTACTTCAAAATGCATGCACGGGTCTAGGTTTCAGAGGACTTGGTTTTAGGTTTAGCCTTATCACTAACTGGTTATATGACTAACATTCATTACTGAGATCCAAGGTTAGATGTTCTACCCAATATCAATGAGAATGCCTATGGGAGAAAGTAGAGGTAAAATGACTTGTCCAGTGTCCTAGAGGTGATTTTCTTGTTTTCATATAAAATGTCATATATCATGGCCAACATATTCACACTGAAAAGTACAGGTCAATTTGTCACACACCCATCCACTCACTGATACATTTGGTCCTTTATGAAATAAACATTATTCTAAATATTAGAGACATAAAAATGAATAAAACATGTGACTTTCCCTCAAGGAGCTTAAAATTTAGAAGGGAAGATAGACATATGGGCTGATAATTATATTACATTACGGTAAGTTTAAGTAGAGCTAAGTAGAGACTGGTAGAAGACAAACAGGAAGAAGCCTAACTCAGTGTAGGTTTGGGGTAAGCTTCCCAGAAGAGGTGACATCTAAACTGAGGCCTTCATCCTGAGTAAAGTAAGCCAGATAAAGAAGAGAGGAGGTGGAGAAACGCATAAAAGCATTTCAGTCAGCAGGTATTCTTTGAGAAAGGCTCAGAGTGGCAAGGAAACCTGTTGTCTGTAAACATCAAGTAAAGCAGCATGGCTGGAAATGCTAAGTGAACCCACTGGAAATTTCTAACAATGTAGATGCACACAGTTATGGACCTTTTTCTCCTCTAAGAACTCCCAGGAGCCTAGATATAAGAGCAAAACTGGTATGGATTCAGTCTCAATGAAAGAAGGGGCTGGAAGGGTTAAATTAAAGTCGTAGACAAAAGAATCCAGGCTGGATAAAGAAAGAAGATAATGTTAGGAAGATGGCAGGCCAGAGTAAAAGAGCCTGGAGGTCTCAATGAGTTAAAGAGCAGATGGAGCAAGAACAAAGCAAGGAAAATGCCAGAAGACAAGGCACCCATTGGCAAGGAGTAGGGTTTTGAAGTTCAATATTTCAGAGATTCAGAGGCCAAATTTTTGGTGAATGGCAATATTCAAAATATGGGCATGAAAGTGGGTGGCCAATGGTGAGTAGAGATTAATTAGATTTGAATTTATCAGGAACTCAGAGGCTAGTGGCTCAAACAAATGAAAAAGTTTATCAATGAAGGAATTTGTTGAGTGTTCTAGAACCTCAAGAGTTTAACATAACTGAAAAGATGGCTACATGAGAAAATTACCAGTGCCTGAAGAATCACATGAATAACCTTGGGAAGACTATACAGTAAACATTAATAAGTGAGAAATCAGAACGAAACAAATGGCTCATAACATAAATAGTGTGTTAGTCTACTTTCCATTACTATCAAGGAATACCTGAGAATGGATAATTTATAAAGAAAAGAGATTTATTTGGCTCATCGTTCTACAGGCTGTACAAGATACATGGCACCAGCATCTGCTTCTGTTGAGGGTTTCAGGGAGCCTCCAAGCAAGGAGAAGGGGAAACAGGTATGTTATATGGCCATGGAAGGAACAAAAGAGAGAGGTAGGGGGACAGGCTCTTTTAAACAACCAGCTTTTGAGTGAACTAATAGAGGGAGAACTCACTCATTACCTCAGGAAGAGCGCAAAGCAATTCATGAGGGATCCACCCCCATGACCCAAACGCCACTCACTTGGCCCCAACTCCAACACTGAGGATCAGATCTCAACATGAGATTTAGAGGGAAAAACATCCAAATCATATTAAATAATGAGGCTGCCCAAGACTCATTTTAAAGGAGAGATAATCAGCTGAGAACATAATAGAAAGTGTCCGGACCAAAGTAGTAGCTCAACAAATATTTTCAGAATGAATGAATGAATGAACAAAGTGTTGAACTAAAGAGAGTCTAATGCAGTTCCAAATGGTCTGCATATCACATTGATTTGAGTGCCTTAAAAAAAATACAAATTTCAGGACCAAACCTCAGAACCTCAGACTTAATAAATCAGAATCTCTAGGGTACAGCCTGGAAATCTGTATTATTAAATAATACCAAAGTTACTTCCACAGAAACCATCTATTAATATATGATAATTGTTTTCATCTGTACCTCTTTATGGACTATGACATTCTACCTTGGATCCTTGAATAATATCTATCACTTATTAGATTATATGTCCCTTGAGAGCACAGAGTATAATCTGATTCATCTCTTTGTCTTTCAGAGCACCTAACACAAGCCTGGAACCCAGACATTCTTGAATAAGTTAGAAGTTCTTGAATGATATAATGAAATGAAATAGTACTATCTAAAAAAGATGAGTCTGACGGGACATTGCCGGATTAATTAGAGGGAGAGTATACTAAGAGTCAAGTTATATGTCCAAACTGGTTTGGTGGGCATCCTGACTCCTTCTTTACCTAAGGGCAAAGCCAAATATTCATTCCTATTTAATACCAGGAACTTCTCCAGGACCCACCCCCTAACCATCTTCTAAACCCCCCTTGCAGCTCCATTCTAGATATTGTCTCTCTTGTAATATCCCTTTAGATTAAACATATCATTATGATACCCTCATCAGTTCCCAACCTTGCCTTTGCCCTTAGATGCTAACCTAGGTTCCTCTCCCAAAACCATTTGCCCAGGGTGGGAGAGAGTATTCAGGCCTAGATTAAGTTATCACAATAAAATGAGAGAAAGGGCAAACCCCAGACTCATTTCAAAGGAGAACAATAACAACAAAAATAACAAGCGGGCTAAGTGAACAGATTATATATTGAGAATAAAGGAAAGGAAACAGTCACAGATGACTTCAAAGTTCTAGCCTGGGAAACTAAAGAAATCACTGATAGGAATAGAGCAGTGTCAAGGGGAGA